TCAATTTCTTAGACATTTGTAATTTGCTTCAATAGACAATTTTAAACAACGTTTTAGAAATGGAAGAAGCAGAATTAATGTGGAACAGGTCTTTCCATTAGTGTGCATGTTACTGATTTATACTGATTTATTTGATTTAAAAATGGTAATTAATTACTTTTTCTTGCCTGGTTATAGATTGTTGTCCCACAAATGAGAAGGAGTTGCAGTTAATTTTGGTGCTACTAAAACAACCGATGCTTTTGACGTCTTCGCCTTGCAACATTATGCAGTTAATTTTTGCCGTAACAATGGGAGGCAATTAGAAATTAATTAATTAATTTGGAAGCAACCGGAACTACAAATTATCTGCAGTGGTACACTCCTAGATTTGGTTGTTTTGCTCATCACACTGGTAGACTTTAGAACGCCACTTTCTACAATTAATTGAGGTGAGAATACATAACTTGATCGATATTAATTACTCTTTATTAATCTGATATGAAATTTCTGTTAACAATTAGCTATTGTCAACACTATAAATTGAGGTTATTGTTCATCAATATCACTTGACAGTTTTTATTTTCCACAGAATAAATTGGTATTTATCATTGATGTATCTAAGGAGTTTATCTATCTATGAAGTTTATCTATCTATGGAGTTTATCTGTCTATGGATTTTCTTTTTAATCTTTCTGTTTATGTCGTAAATTGACGTGTTATTTAACGTTAACCTATGTCGTGATCTATGGTTGTGATGTAAAATGGCGTAAATTTGTTGTTTGTTTATTTTTTAATTCAGCTATTTTACTTGGTTTTTGGTGCGTTTTTGTTTGTGTTTCTTAATTATAAGTGTAATTAATATATTTTTTTGTCCATTTCTGCAGGTTATACAATAAATGAGAGAGAATTAATGCTCAGTTTGGTTATATTGAAACAGCCCGTGTCTACATGGGTGTGGTCTTTCCTGGATTATATTCTTGATTTGCTGTTTCATCTTCGCCTTGTAACATCATGCAGTTAATTTTCAACCTATGAGCTACTAGTGCAACTGGATATTTATTTGAATTCCACGGAAATAAGAAATTCTCTGCTGCAGTATTTCTCCTGGAGTTGGTTTACTTTTCACAACTGTAAACTTTGGAATGTTACGTTCTATAATTTATTAAGGTGAGGATACTTGATATAATTAATTTTAATTGCACTTTATTAATCTGTTTGCCACCGTATCTGTTTCAGATCGACGTTGGAGAAGACAAAGATGACCCAGTAGTTGAAATAGTTCGTTATCTTGCATGCTCTATCTAGTAGAATTCATTAAGTTCATTTTATTCAAATTAATTTTTTATTTTGCATGTTTTTTTGTAGTTTCTTATAGTTAATTTGATTTAGTTTTTATTTTGCATGCTTATTTTTGTTC